GAAAAATGTTTTATTTCGTATTTGAATTACTGGCACCTTACTTTTCGGCACTAAAAAAGGTGTCAAATTTCTGAAAATCTCGGAAGTTCGACATTAAAAGGTCTTCATAACCTTTACTATTTGGTACCACTAAATGCAGTTTTTTACGGGCTTCAATTTGGTATAAAATACTTAGTGCAATCATTTTACTTTAAGGTCGAACCTGTGGGGCGTAAAGGTTTTGCAACACCCTGTATATTTATTAATTTAAAATCATCTAATATCACTAGAATCTATGTCCGAAGTATGATTAAAAGCATCTGAGTGATATATAAATGAGAATGACTGTTTCAAAAACATTCATTTCGAGAAAAAAACACGAAACAATATGAAATATTTTCTATCATCGATAAATTTGACTTCTGGCATTCGGCTGAGACAAAATACTAAAATAAAATGTATCGTACTGTAGTAAAATTTAGTCCAAAAAACATGTTGAAAAATAAATCAATGATCGAGATTGGATCACTTTGATATGGCTGGATCTTATCGAAAAAAAAATAGTACTTCGATTTCCTACAACAACGAAAAATATTTAACGTGTCAAAGTGCAAAAATATGGTATGTTTTTTATTAGTGTGAATGTATACTCTTTGTGATTATATCGTATGAAAAAAAACTGTTAATTCATTTTTGGATAAAGAAAGTCTTTCGGATACATATGGATATGTACCAATAAAATTTACTTTTTCTGATTTAAATGTAGATATTCTCTTCATCCACACCATACCCTATTGTCCAGATTTAATGGTATGCGACATGAATCATATCCTTATGTAAAGAAAAGCAAAAAATAATTGTTTACCTCATATATTCACATTCTATTCAGCAGAGAACTAAAACAGCTTAATTTTTCATATAGATCAGTTGAATATATAAGCAAATAAATCAAGTATTTTCCATGAAAACATTCTATAACTTAATCTTTCTGAAGACATCAAACATAGCTAAATCTCGTTGTATACAGTACAAAATGCATTAGAAGGTTTTATACTATTAGACAAAGGTTGCTGATATCGACAAAATATGTAATATAAAATAGAATTTTATAAGAAAGTACGGACGATTTTGCTGATAACAAGTCCTTTCTTTTTGTAAACTTTATCGTTTGTCAACCTTTAAGATTTTATTAATAAAATCTTGATCAAAATAGATTACAAATCATCCGAACAATAAGTCGATCTAACTCAGAATTTAGCGAATTTTATGGTAATGATAAAGTGAAGAAGACTTAAAATAATAACCATCTACATTAGTCGTACTAAAAATTAATTCATATTTTTTTATTTTTATTTTATTTGACATTATTTATTAATTTTGTTAATCCCCAGTAAGATTGTGTATCAAAGAAAGAATTTAAAACACAAAGCACTCAGTTGCTAAGACAAAACAATAATAAAAAAAACTGAAAACAAACATTCATCAACTATTATCCAATATGAAGAAAGAAAAAAAAAACTTTTATTTTTTCTTTTTCTTTATAATTTTTCTGATGAATGATGATCATGAATAGTTTTTATTCTTGTATGATCATCATAAGAATTTTTCATATGTTGTTTAAGCATTTTTTCACTTTGATATTTAGAAAAAGCTTGTAATAATTCTGGACAATTTTGTTTTGCTGCTAGATCAATAACACTTTCATTTTTATCATTTAACCAAGATGCATCACCTCCATGTCTTATATCAAAAAAAAAAGAAAAAAATTAAATTTTATTATTTTCTTATTTAATTTCTAATTAAAAAAATAAACTTACTTGAGAAGAATTCTTAATGGTTCAGCACCATCAAGTCCTAATAAACAACATTCATATAATGCTGTATTACCTCGTCTACAAAACAAAACAAAATCAATAGTTTATCTAATTTCTTAACATTTCGAATATCAATTTTTATCTGAACAAAAAAAAAAGAAAAAATACACAGTCAATCTTTGATTTCAATTGATATTAAAATCTCGATAGATATATATAGAACTTACGATCCTCTTTTATCTAATTTGGCTTTTCCATCTATAATAAGTGTTTCTAAACATTCCTAATATCCATTACGTATAGCCAATTATAGAATCGTATAACCTTCTTTATTTTTAATATTAACATCAGCTTTTTCTTTTATTAAACGTTGAACTTTTTTTAATATATCGATTTGATGTGATGATTTTTTATTATAATTATTATTTTTTTTTCAAATAATCGAATTAATGCATGAGTTGACTATTAATTATAATAGATAATTAATAAGACAAAAATAAATTATAATAAAATATTTTATTCTTACACTCAATATTTTCTGTAATTTCTCTTGGATATTCATCTATGTAAAAAACAAAGTTTTTTTTTTGCAAAAGAATACTTTTACCTACTATCAGAATAAATTGTATTTGAATATGGTGAACTTCGTTCACTATTTATTGGATAATATTCATTTGTTTCATTAATAAAAAATGGTGATTGTGAAAGATTTTCTGGTTTACGAAATACTGTTTGTATAGTTACTTGATATTCATTTTCATGTAGAGTTGCATGAATCATATTACCCATATGTGGTTCACCTAAAAAAATAATTAAATAATATATAAGATATATATATAGAGAGAGAATTTATATTTTAAATAATTTTAAATAATAATTATTATTCATTATAGCAAAATAAAAGTATTAGTTTGTTTAAATATTAAAGATCTTTACCAATCAATGATTGAAAATCTGGTCGATTAACTGCATAAGTTTTTAAATGAGCACAAATATGATCTAATTGTTGTCGCCAATATCCTTTTCCTGGACTTGTAGATGTTAATATTGGACGATATTCTTTTAATTCTTTTTCATTTAATAATTTTTTATTTTGTGTTATAATTAAATCAATATCTTTTGCACTTGGATAATAAATTCTATATGTTTGTGTTGCAGCTTCTTTTTTAATTGTTGAATATGATTGATGATAATTAGTTAATGTTGTATTTGCATTAAGCCATACAGGATTAACTGAATTACGTGTTAATGCCTATAGAAAATAAGAATCTTTTTTTTTGTTTTCTTTTTATTCGTTAATTTTAATATACACTAGCAATCATTGATGACGATGAAATATTCAAATCATTTTAAAGACGTGTATCAATAATACGTAATGGTGGTTCAAGAACACATTCACATGTTGAACAAAATTTTCCAAATGAATCGTTATTAGTATGACATTTTGTACATTGTATTGATGTAGATATATGTTCAGGATATGCACCACACCAATCACAAAAACGAGCATTAGGATTATTTAAACGAAAACATTTTGAACATGTTATCATCATTGTATTTGTTTGTTTTGATATTGTTGGAATTGAAATTGAAGTTCGTTTTTCCTATTGAAATATAAATACGAAAAAAAAAAATAAATAAGATTTTTTTTATTTACTGGTGATGTCGATGTTGGCATTAATACATTTTCACAAATATAACATGTTCGTAAATGTATTGGATTTGTTGATTTACAATGAGGAAATAGAATTCTTGTCTAGAGAGGAACATTAAAATTTGATTAATTTTTTGAAACCTGATTTTGAGAAGTTGGTCGCTGTTGTGGTTCTTTGGATATTGGTGTTTCACATATAACACATGTGTTAGAATTAAATGGAATAGTAGATTTACAATTTGTACATATATTAGTCTAATTAAAGAAAAATTATCCGTGTAAAATAAGATAACTACTATTCATTTGTAAAGTAATCAATACTGTTATGTAGAACAATACATGATCCGTCGAAGGATATACTCTTTATCAAATTTTACAGTTCTGAGAAGTCATATACCCCCCCCCCCCCCTCCCAATTAAGGAAACATAACCGATTTTCTAATCTTTTTTTGCGAAATCCTTCCTTTCCTATCATAATTGGTACAGTTTTTACAAAAAATGGTAGTTTTTTTTAGCAAAAACACCTAAAAAACAATAATTAAAGTTATTAATGAATTATTCATTTTTTAAATGATTTTAATTAAAACTGGCCAAAAATTGACCCTCAATAGAAGGCCGTCCAAAAAATAGAGATGTGCCAAGACACTGTATAAGGGCATGCACTTTTATTCTGGGGGGAGGGTTACTAGTTAACAGGTATTATAGCAATGATGGCTGTTGTAAGATATGACTGTCGAGGACAAAGGCAACTAACTATGCAGCTTTTTCCGTGTTCTATAAGTGTGATTCCTGAGAACAGAAAAATACATGACTTTTCTTTTTGTTTTTAGGCTTCAGAACATCGAATGGGATTCGGATATGTAGTTCTATCACATTCAACATATGTTCGGGTTTCTTATAAGAATTAATAGCTTTATCAAGATTCTGAAAGAGAAAAACGATTTTTTACTATTTTCGAAAGACCCATATATGTGTATGTCAGATATAGGTTATTTTTGAGATCATATTACTCATCATTGCTCTTATATATCTTAGCTGGTATAATGACTTTTATGAAAAAATAATTTCGTAAATAACTATGAGTTGTTCAACAGAATGGGATTAGGTAGTTTCTTTTTTTCAAATGAAGGGTAGTCATCATATCCAATAGAATTATTTTGAATTACTGAATAATTATCCGGTGGATTATGAGTTAGTTTTTGCCAAGGTAGACCACATTCCGTACAAAATCGTGTATATAAATCATTTGATTTAGGTGCAAAACAATGTGCACATCTAGAAAAGAAACAACAAAGCTCAAATAATAAAATAATTTTGTTTCGATAAACCTTAAAACATTTGTTTGTATTTGAGAATTTGAATATGTATAATTAGTTGGATTTTCTTGTACTAATGAATCAATTGTTGAACGATGCATTGATTCTATATAGAAATTTGATTAATAATAAATAAAATTACTTTTTTTTTTTTTTTGATACCAGATAATTTTTGTTGCATTTGTTCATTTTCATTTTGCATCTTTCTCATTAATTCCTATTGAAGTAAAATTATAAAATCAATTAATAAATGTTTAACTGAATTAAATATGTAGAAAAAAGTTCGATTGCTTTACTAATTGTATGTTTACAAATTGTTTTTTAGATAATACTATGACATTCTTCAGAAATATTTCATTTTCAAATCTCGAATTTGAATTTTTCACAGAGATTGAGATCACTGACAATAGTTTGTAATGAAAGTTTTAGATATATTCTTATCGGCGGAATGAAAAATATTTTGCAATAAATTATTTTCGTTAACATCTATCTCTATGTAAAGTTTCAAGTAGAAATTTAAAAACCAAAATTGAAGATGTGTCAATGATTTTGATAAGTTTTGAACTTCATAGAAAAAAAAACATTTTAATGAAGTAATATCGATAGACAAGCATTAAATTACTACTATTGTATTAGTGATCTTCTAATTGAACTCTTGAGATATCGAGACATTCTTGAATATCAATTTTTTTAAATAAAATTAAAGATAAATATTTTTGCAAACTAAAATATATTTATATTGAAAAATTTAATATTTAATTAAACTTTAACATCTTGATTAATCACTTATAATGACACATAAACTTACTCATATATCCAACAGATTATTTTATTTTCGTAATATTTTATGAAAGATTCAATGTATTCAGATGTGTTTTCTACAAAAATCGAATTCATAGTTTCTTTTAATGAAAACTCATCTTTTTCTAAAATATACTTTTTCAGATTACTTAAATAAATACTAAAAAGAATATTCTTTCACTTGATTCAAATTCATTGTACATTTCATATAAAAATAGGTATGATTTCATAATGAAAAAAAAAGTATTCTATACAGTATTTCAATAAACATGAGATAAGTA